CTACCCCTGACAGCTTCACTGGTAAATTCTACCAAACACTTAAAGAGAAAATAATACTAATTCCTAACTCATTCTATAAGGCCAGTATTACCATACTACAAAAGTTGAACAAAAACAATACCAAAAAAAAAATAATAAAACCAAAGACCAATATCCCTCATCAACATTAATGCACAAATCCTCAACAAAATACTAGCAAACTGAACTCAGTAGCATATTAATAGGATTATACATCATGACCAAGTAAGATTTATTCTTGGAAGGCAAGAATGGTTCAACATATGAAAATTAATTTATGTGATATAACATGAATAAAGGTAGAAAAACCCACATAACCATCTCAATTGAGGTAGAAAAAGCATTTGACAAAAATTCAACATCCTTTCATGATAAAAACACTCAACAAACTAGGGTAGAAGAAAACTAACTCGACAATAAAATCTATATACGAAACACCCACCATTCATCATACTCAATGGTGAAATACTCAAAACTTTTCCTCTAAGATCAGCAACAGGACAAATATGCCCACTTTTACCACATCTATTCAACATAGTACTGAAGTTGGATTGGAGGATTTAATATTGTTAGGATGTCAATATTACCCAAAGTGACCAACAGACTCAATGCAATTATATCAAAATTCCAATATCTGTTTTTGCAGAAATAGAAAACCATCCTAAAATTTACATGGGTCCGAAGGGACCCCAGATATCCAAAATAGTCTTGAAAAAGAAGAACAGTGTTGGAGGACTCATACTTTCTGATTTCAAAACTTAATATAAAGGTACTGTAAACAAAACAATGTGGTGTGGCACAAAGACAGACATATAGACCACTGGAATAAAACAGAAAGTCCACAAATAAACGCTCCCATATATGGTCACATGATTTTTGATAAGGTTATCAAGAAAAGCTTACCAATGTACCCTCCTATGAACTGCTTAAGATTGCCTGTTTCTGGATACCTTAGCCCAAACTATTCTTTCACTCACAGAGAAAGAGACTAACATTTTTCTGTGTGTTTAGTTGTCATCTCTATTTCTTATTTTGTGACTTGCCTGATTGTGAATTTGCTAGCTTTTTTTTTTTTCTTTTTCCCGAGATGGAGTCATGCTCTGTCGCCCAGGCTGGAGTGCAGTGGCTCGATCTCGGCTCACTGCAACCTCCTCAGTCTCCCAAGTAGCTGGGATTACAGCCTGCCACCACGCCCGGCTAATTTTTGTGTGTGGGTATATACACACACACACACACACACACACACACACACATATATATTTTGTGTGTGTGTGTGTGTGTGTGTGTGTGTGTATATATATATATATATTTTTTTTCTTTTTAGTAGAGATGGGGTTTCACCATGGCCAGGCTGGTCTCGAACTCCTGACCTCAGGTGATCCGCCCACCTTGGCCACCCAAAGTGCTGGGATTACAGATGTAAGCCACTGCACCTGGCCTGACTTTTGCTAGCTTTTTACTGGGGTGTTTTACTTTTTACTGATTATTGGTTTTGTATATTAGGTGCATTAACCCTTTGTATGGCATATGTTGAGTCTGTTGGACCAATACAACTTATTGAAGCTTTCCCCCACTGATTTGAAATGCTACCTCTACTGTATACTAAATTAATATATAGGCGTATTAATCCATTTCTAGGCTATATACCACAGTGATTGAGTATGTAGTCTGAAACTAGGCTGCCTTGATTCAATTCCAATCTCTCAGGTAGAGACTACTTGGTTTTAAACACCCAAATATCAACAGTTACCTAAATTCCAGCATTGTTAATCTGACAAATGTATAAATAATGTAAAATGTAGTACTACCTAAATATTTGAAAAGTGAGTAATATAAAATATATACTAGAACCCTAGTTCTTAAGTCATATGCCAGGCACTTCATATATATTATTAATTCATTTGATACTTAAAGCACACTAGGGATTTACGCATTATCATCACCACAGGTGATAAAATGAAAGCAAACAGTTAGGTAAATTATACAAAATTATGCAGCAAATAACTGAGAGAGCTTGGAGTTGAATCAACAGGACTTAAATATAAGAAAATTACTGAGGGTGCTGGACCTGAGGAAATGGACCTGAAAGAACCCACCTCTTTGTTTACTTCACACTTGTACCTAGAAGCCTTGTCTCTCTCCAGTTTATTTTCTACAATGCAGCCTTACATGATCATACTCTAAACAAGGAATCAGCAAACTGTGACCTGCCATCCAATCTAACCCAAACTAAGAATGGTTTTTGGGAAAAAAAAAAAAAAAAAAACCACAGAAACGGTTTTATGTGACATCAAATTTCAGTGTCCATATATGAACTTTTATTGGAACACAGCCAAACTTATTTGTGTATGTATTGACTATGCCTGCTTTTGCTCTATAATGGCAGAGTTAAGTAAATGCAACAGAGCCCGTATGGCTTGTAAAAAGTCTAAAATATTTACAAAACTTAGCCAAGCATGGTGGCACATGCCTGTAGTCTTAGCTCCTTCGGAGGCTAAGACAGGAGGATTGCTTGAGCCCAGGAGTTCAAGGTTATAGTGAGCTATGATCACACCACTGCATTCCAACCTAGATGAAAAACCAAGACCCTGACTCAATCAATCAATCAATCAGTCAATCAATAAAGCATGCAAGAAACAAGCCTAAACTATTTGCTACCTGGCCCTTTATAGGAAAAGTTTCCTAGCCAAAATACTGATAATATCACTCTTCTGTTTAAAATGATTTAGTAACTTCTTATTGCTTTTGAGATAAATTCTAACTCCTTTATATGGAATAGTAAGTCCCTTTAGTCTCTCTGCTTTCCAGCCATATCAACTTTCTTATGTTGTATGTCTTGTAACTTTTTACCACTGATAATATGCTAATGCAAAAGGACTATTTTCAGGTTAACTGATACACTTTTGTGTGATCCCATTGTGATTCACATGTTATTATTTTTAGTCTTTTACCAAGAGATAACTCAAGGGTAGAAAATCATGTATAAGTAGGAATAATCCTGATTATTTTACAAGCTTTTAATTTCAAAAGAGGTAACATTTTTCAGTCTATAGGCTACAGACCTCTGGCTAGATGAAATTTAGATAGTAAGAATCAATCTATTAAAAAATAAATTCTTTTAGGCAATTTCTACATGGAACTTTAAATGTATATAGTAGATTCATGAGCTTAAATAGAACTTTCAGGCTTTAATGCTCTTAATATTTTGAGCTTCTTTAAAGCAGACCATGGGCTATAAATAAAATTATGCATGAAGAGTAACAATGCAGCATTCTGAATTAATGAATGTTTGCTTTTGCAAATAAAAAGGACAGTAAAACGACTTCTATACTTCCCTTATTTTATATTTTCATCTTTTTGGTATAAAAATCCTCATGGGTTAGGGTTAGCCTATCAGTAGAAAGGCTATTGGATGAAAGTGATTTGAACTAACCTGGATACTTTATATTGTCATTGGCTAAACTGAGACTGAAAGCTGAAACAGGTATGATTTGAGAAAAGTTTAGAAGGTGCCTTTCATGATGTTTGTAATTATTACAACATTAGAAATTACAGAACATAATACCTTGAGAGATAAATTTTACCAGGCACCAAACATTTAAATATACATCTCTTTAGTTCTTATCTTGGCTAGAAAAAAGACTGAAACTATAGACATAAAAATAAAGAAATATGGGGAAAATCTACCATTATTGAGGTAAGTGGCAAAGGTAAAAAGGTGGAGATAAGGAAAAAAGTCAATGGGGCTGGAAAATCTAAAAAGTGTAATTAATTTTCTGACACTGTGATCTCTGCATGTATAGATTTTGATGAAAATAATAAAATCTTCCTTCAATGTAATATGCCTGCTCAATTAGACATCACAAAATGCAGAAGACGAATAAAAGAATGTTCACGCTTTTGAAATTAGATTTTTAATGGTCAATAAAAGTATAATTAATTGAATGACATACAATTAGAATTTAAATATCAAACTCAATCCAAAGAGGATTGATTTAATGTGATGAATCCATAATATTATCTAACACATCAAAGCTTAATTTAAACTACAGAATGACTTCACTGTGCAAAAGATTCTGGAAAAGCACCTTCTAGAAGTATTTCTTGCTTTCAAGAAGCTTTTGCTCTATTGTTTCTGTGACAGCAATATAATTGCTATGTAACAGAATATCTGAAACATCAAAGCTTAAACTATAAAATGTCTTAATTGTGCAAAAGATTCAGGCAAAAGCACCTTCTAGAACTATTTCTTCTTTCAAGAACCTTTTGCTCTGTTGTTTCTGTGAAACAATGAAATTGCTATCTAACAGAATATGCTGGGAAACCAGGAAAGGACTTTTCCTTTGTTCATTTGATCTCAATGTGGCACTGTGGTGCAAGTCTTATAAAACCGAAACCTGATACAGAGTATAAGGATTTGTAAGAAACTGGTCAGTTTTACTGTTCTGTAGCTAACAAATGGGAGGGCCAGAGTGTATGTGAATTTAACCTCTTGGATCCACTTTGTACTATAGTTACTCAAAAAATACATGTGAGAACATTCCTACTTTGTTACTCTACACTAAAATCTAAGGGACAAACTGAGCACATTCAAGATCTGTGGGACATGTTTTGCCCTATGTCCTGGATTCTATAGCTTTTCTTCAGAGAATGGATTAGAAAGACATTTAAGATTATTAGATAGATAGGTGTCATCCCCTTGCATCAAGATACATGAGGAGAAAAGTTCAAGAATTATAAATTCTTAGAAAACATAAAAGACCCATTGGAGCCAGCAAAGAAAATGTCAACAAATCAAAAGATACTAGATAGCTATTGACCAGTTTCATGAAAGCAAACCTGCAAGTCAAGATGGAATAATGCTTTCCCACCATGTGTCTAAGCCTGCAAAATGACACTAATCCTTTTTAATGGTCACAGAAGCTGACAACTTACTCAGCCTTAGAACTGAAGGCACAAAATCATCTCCGAAAATGACTCACCATAAAGAGGTCACGAGCACCAATGTCAACAGCTAGGAGAAATGCCTTTTCAAATCTCTGGTACCTACAAGGCAGAAAAAAATGTTACGTTAGTTGTGAACAAGAATATATAAAAGAAAAGAGCTGTTTATTTAACATATTTGCGTGATACTGTTTTTGTCCTTCTGATTGAAAAAATATTTTCAGAGAGAAGGGAACTGGCCTACTAGGATCTTCCATATGTGAAAAGTTACTACATTTAGGAGGGGCTGAGGCTCAGAGCCTGTGGAGGCCTTAAGTATAACGTTCAAGAATAAACATAACCCCAAGTAGACACTGCCGACTATGATAGCTTAGAAAATATGTTGCCTCTTCTTGTTAGTACCTCCTGTATTTGCCTGAATCCCCCTCAGATATAGAAATCAAAAGGCAATTGTGTTTATTTTTGTGAAGGAAGAGTGTCTTGTACTAGGAAGCTTATTGATTCATTATATATTCAGTGGAGGTGAGATATACTAAGGAAGAGGTCAGAGGATTAGCAAATTGTACTATTTGTCCATGCATTCACTGCAATTTTGCATTTGTCACCATTCCATTGTAACTATCTGGCAATACTAATTATCCATATATATAAAAATATATATATATATATTTATATTTTGAGACGGAGTCTCGCTCTGTCGCCAGGCTGGAGTGCAGTGGCATGATCTCGGCTCACTGCAACCTCCACCTCCCTGGTTCAAGCGATTCTCCTGCCTCAGCCTCCTAAGTAGCTGGGAGTAGGTGTGCACCACCATGCCCAGATTTTTGTATTTTTAGTAGAGATGGGGTTTCACCATGTTGGCCAGGATGGTCTCGATCTCTTGACCTCGTGATCTGCCTGCCTCAGCCTCCCAAAATGCTGGGACTACAGGTGTGAGCCACTGTGCTCAGTCAATTTGACACATTTGAAGAAAGAATTGGTGAAATAAAAGTGCATAAATTATGTATAAGTTAGGAATTACACAGAATGTTGCAGAGGAAAAAGAAATTAAAAATATAAAGACAGGCTAAGCAAATTAGAAAATATGAAAAGTCTAATATGACTACACAGGGAATTAAGTTAATGGTTAAGAATTTCCAGAGATGATAAATGATATGATACAATCAACACAAAAGAAACAATGTATATCAGCCAGGAGATATAAAAAGGAAATTTAAAATATTCACATTTATAATGGAAATGCAGAACTGAACAAAAAAAGAAAATTAGGCTGGGTGCGGTAGCTCACGCCTGTGATCCCAGCACTGTGGGAGGCTGAGATGGTTTTATCACTTGAAGCCAAAAGTTCAAGACCAGGCTGGGCAACACAGTGAAACCCCAACTCTACTAAAAATACAAAAATGAGCCAGGTGTAGTGGTGGGTGCCTGTATTCTCAGCTACTCAGGAGGCTGAGGCACAAGAATTGCTTGAACTCACAAGGCAGAGGTTGCAGTGAGCTGAGATTGTGCCTTTGCATTCCAGAAAAGAAAGAAATAAAAGGCATCTATTAATAAATAGGAAGAGAGGAAGTCAAACTATCTCCCTTCTCAGATGACATGATTCTATACCTACAAAATCCCGTAGTCTCTGCCCAAAGACTCCTACATCTGATAAACAGCTTTGGCAAAGTTGCAGGATACAAAATTAGTGCAAAAATGAGTTGCATTTCTGTGCACCAATAATGTCCAAGCTGAGAGTCAAATCAAGAATACAATTCCATTCACAATAGCCACAAAAAGAATAAAATACTCAGGAATACAGCTAACCAGGGAGGTGAAAGATCTCTACAATGAGAATTACAAAGCCCTGTGGAAAGAAATTAGAGATGACATAAACAATTGGAAAACCATTTCATGCTGATGGATAATAAGAATCAATACTGTTAAAATGGCCATACTACAGATTCAATGTTATTCCTGTCCAACTACTAATGACATTTTTCACAGAACTAGAAATACCTTAGATTTATATGGAACCAGGCCAGGTGCAGTAGCTCACACCTGAAATCCCAGCACTTTGGGAGGCTGAGGTGGGTGGATCACCTTAGGTCAGGAGTTCGAGACCAGCCTGGCCAACATGGTGAAATTCCATCTCTACTTAAAAAAAAACAATACAAAACATTAGCTGGGCATGGTGGCAGGTGCCTGTAATCCCAGCTACTTGGGAAGCTGAGGCAGAAGAAGCGTTTGAATGTGGGAGGCAGAGGTTGCAGTGAGCCGAGTTCACACCATTGCACTCCAGCCTGGGCAACAAAAGTGAAACTACAACTCAAAATTAAAAAAAAAAAAAGAAAGAAAAAGAAAACTTATATGGAACCAAAAAAAAAAAAAAACACCTGAATACCCAAAGCAATTCTAAACAAAAAGAACAAAGTTGGAGGCATCAGATTATGCACTTCAAACTCCTACAAAGCTACAGTAAACAAAACAGCATGGTACTGGTACGAAAACAGACACATAAACCAATGGAACAGATTACAGAATATTGGGGGAAAACCCCACCCCTGATATTTATTGTGGGTTCTTTTCTATTCCCTAAGCATCTCAGCTGGTTTGAGAAATAAAGGGAAAGAGTACAAGAGAGAGAAATTTTAAAGCTGGGTGTCCAGGGGAGACATCACACATCGGCAGGTTCTATGATGCTTCCCGAGCCATAAAACCAGCAAGTTTTTATTAGTGATTTTCAAAAAGGGAGGGAGTGCACAAATAGGGTGTGGGTCACAGAGATCACATACTTCACAAGGTAATAAAATATCACAAAGCAGGGCGAGATCCCAGGACCACCAGATGGGGCAAAATTAAAATTGCTAATGAAGTTTCAGGCACGCATTGTCATTGATAACATCTTATCAGGAAACAGGGTTTGAGAGCAGACAACCTGTCTGACCAAAATTTATTAGGCGGGAATTTCCTCGTCCTAATAAGCCTGGGAGCGCTACAGGAGACCAGGACTTATTTCATCCCTTCGACTTCGACTGTAAAAGGCGGCTGCCTTAAGGGGGCTGTCTATAGACCCACCCTCAGGGCACATTCTCTTTCTCAGGGATGTTCCTTGCTGAGAAAAAGAATTCAGGGATATTTCTCCTATTTGCCTTTGAAACAAGAGAAATATGGCTCTGTTCCGTCCAGCTCACCAGCGGACAGAAGTCTTATCTCTCTTGTTCCCTGAACATTGCCGTTATCCTGCTCTTTTTTCAAGATGCCCAGATTTCATATCGTTCAAACACACATGCTTTACAAACAGCTTGTGCAGTTAACGCAATCATCACAGGGTCCTGAGGTGACATATATCCTCCTCAGCTTACAAAGAAGATGACGGGATTAAGAGATTAAAGTAAAGACAGGCATAGGAAATCACAAGGGTATTGATTGGGGAAGTGATAAGTGTCCATGAAATGTTCACAATTTATGTTCAGAGATTGCAGTATAGATAGGTGTCAGAAATTATAAAAGTATTAATTTGGGGAACTAATAAATGTCCATGAAATCTTCATAATTTATGTTCTTCTGCTGCAGCTTTAGCTGGTCCCTCCATTCGGAGTCCCTGACTTCCTGCAACAAAAGAACTTAGAAATAAAGCCAAACACCTGCAACCAACCATCTGATCTTTGACAAGATAGACAGTAGCAGTAATGGGGAAATGACTTCCTATTTAATAAATGATACTGGAATAACTGGACAGTCATATACAGATGATTTAAACTAGACCCCTTTCTTTCACTGTATACAAAAATCAACTCAAGATGAATTACAGACTTAAATGTAAAATCTAAAACTATAAAAACCTTAGAAGAAAACCTAGGAAATATCGTTATGGACATAGGCCCTGGCAAAGATGTCATGACACAGACTCCACAAGCAATTACAACAAAAACAAAAAATTGACAAATAGGAAGACCAATTAAACTAAAGAGTTTCTGCATAGCAAAAGAAACTATCAAAAAAGTAAACAGATAACCTACAGAATGGAAGAAAATATTCAAACTGTGCATTTGGCAAAGGCCTAATATCCAGAATCTATAAAGAATTTAAACAAATTAACAGGCAAAAAACTTAAAACCCAATTAAAAAATGGGGAAAGGACATGAACAGACACTTCTCAAAATAAGACAAATACTCAGCCAACAAGCATATGGAAAAATCCTCAGCTTCAGTAATCGTTAGAGAAATGTGAATCAAAACCACAATGAGATACCATCTCATACCAGTCAGAATGGCTATTATTAAAAAGTCAAAAAACAACAGATGCTGGCAAGGGTGCAGAGAAAAGGGAACACTTATACACTGGTGGTGGCAATGTAAATTAGTTCAGCCACAGTGGAAAGAAGTTTGGAGATTTCTTAAAGAACTTAAAACAGAACTACTATTCAACCCAGCAATCCCATTACTGGGTATATACCCAAAGGAATATAAATTGTTCTAACATAAAGATATGTGATGTGTGTGTTCATCACAGCACTATTCACAATAGGAAAGACATGGAATCAACCTAGATGCCCACCAATGGTTGACAGGATAAAGAAAATGTGGCATATATACACCATGGAATACTATGCAGTCATATAAAAGAAAGAGATTATGTCCTTTGCAGCAACATGGATGGAGTTGGTGGCCACTGTCCTAAGAGAATTAATGCAGGAACAAAAGTCCAAATACCACATGTCGTCTCTTATAAGTGGGAGCTAAACACTGAGTACACAGGGACACAAAGAAGGGAACAGTAGATAGCAGGGCCTACTTGAGGCTGGAGTGTGGGAGGAGGGTGAATTTAAAAAGTACCTATCGAATACTGTGCTCATTTGTAGCATAGTTATCCTGGGTGATGAAATAAGCTGTACACTAGACCCCAATGACATGCAATTTACCCTTGTAACAAACCGGCAGATGTACCCTTGAACCTAAAACTGCAAAAAATAAATAAATAAATAAATAATAATAATAATAATATATACATAAAGTTTAAAAAAAGAAAAAGTTTTTAAAAAAAAGAGAGAGAGAGAAGACACATCATCTACAAAGGAACTACAAATACTGACCCTAGACTTCTCATTGGCAACAATGGG